CACCATGTTACAGTTTTGCTCGTCACTGTATGTAAGAAATACATATATCTCTTAGACGGAATACAGTGAAAAATATCCTAACTGAAACAAACATGAATTCCGCGCAGTGAGTTAAAAAAAATTTATAACGAACTTATTTTCTACATTAATTACGGATTATACATATATACGTTGGTGGTCAAATATTAGGGACACTACTTCTTTACAAGTTTGGACGATTTATTTTTTCTTTATTTTAATTTAATGTTTTTTCTTTTAAATAGTTTATTTCACAACGAAAGGCTTGAATTCGAAGATTCAAACCTTGTACAAGTTTTATAAAAATTCGACAAATAAAAAAAATTACCATCAAAATTCCAAAATTTGTAAGCAGAAGTTCTAGAAAAATTAATTATATGACCATCACTGTGTACATATTTATTTATTATTATTATATTTGTCCAAAGACAGTCACTCTTGCTGCATTCCACAAGGCTTTTGCGTAATTTTTATCCTGTTACAACAACATTGCCGATTTTAAATTGATGAAAACCTCTAATCTTCCTAATTTCGAATTATAATTTATTGTTTGCCCATATTTTTTTCTCTACAGGAGCTTGAACCACTCATTGACAATGGCAAGCCGTCGACTATCATCGAAATGAAATTTTTATTATTAGAGCAAAAGTACTTGGAATTTTTGGACGATGGTTGTCCATTGGATGCCTTACATGTGTTGCGCAATGAGCTAACACCGCTACAGCACAACACGTCTCGCGTCCATCAACTTTCCTCATATATGATGTGTTCGAATAATCACGATCTCTATCAACGCGCCAAATGGGAAGGCAAAGGTATATTATCACGTGCTGTGGTCATGGACCGACTGCAAGCATTCCTACCACCATCGGTTATGATGCCACCACGCCGTTTACGCCACCTACTACAACAAGCAGTTGAATTGCAATCGAAACATTGCGATTTCCACGATATGGCCTTTAAAACAAATCTACAGAGTGTATCATTGCTCAGTGATCACACCTGCGATACCGATGGCTTTCCCATGCAGACCATACAGGTACTCACTGATCACTGCGATGAAGTTTGGTATTGTAAATTCTCGCCAGATGGCTTGAAACTTGCTACTGGCAGCAAAGATTCCACAGTCATTATATGGGATGTAGATCCATATAAGTTGACATTAAAGCATCGTCGCATACTCGAAGGTCAATCGAATATAAGTGTGGCTTTTGTTAGCTGGAGTCCCGATTCGAAACTCTTATTAGTGGGTGGACCCGATGATACACCCGAAATTTGTATATGGAATGTAGAAGATGGCAAGCTGGTATTAAAGATGTCTCAATCGGTGGATGACAGTCTATCGTGTGGTGCTTTCAATCGCGATGGTACACGCTTCGTTTGCGGCGGTCAAAAGGGACAATTCTATTTGTGCGACCTGAGTGGAACGATTCTCAATACGTGGGAAGGTGTGCGCATCAATAGCGTGGCCTACCGCGCAGACAATAAGACTATAATAGCATCCGATAGTCATTATCGTATCAGAGGGTTAGTAGTAGTGTACACTTTTCAGCATTGAGTGGTGCATGTATCTTTGTCGTATTTAAATATTGTAAAAGAAACCAAATTTAAAAAATGATTAAGCTTCGTTCGAATTTTTCTTCAAGTAATGTTAATTAGTTTGTCTCCCTTCTTTTTACAGCTATAATTTTGAAGATCCGGGTACAGATTTCGACATACTCAAAGAACCGCACCCGATCATGACTTTTACCGTGAACTCCGCAGATCGTTTGGCACTGCTCAATATTTCCAGCCAAGGCTTGCATCTATGGGATTTGGAGGACAAGTGCCTGGTACGTCGGTTTCAAGGAATTCGTCAGAGCAAATTTGCCATACACTCATGCTTTGGTGGTGTAAATGAGAGTTTTGTGGCGAGCGGTAGTGAGGATAAATTGGTATGTATTTGGCATATACGACGTGAAGAGCCATTGGGCAAGCTGGCTGGTCACACAAAAACAGTAAATTGTGTTTCCTGGAATCCTGTGTATCCGTCCCTTTTGGCATCGGCCAGTGATGATGCCACAGTACGCATTTGGGGCCCAAAATCACACAGTGCCAATGCAACACCCGAGAGTGATGACTGTTCATCTTGTTCATCATCATCGTCGTGGAACATGACATCGTAATTCAACACACACAAATGCACATATACACGTCATAACAGCGATAACCAATAGAGGAGCACACCGTTGTTGTCGCCATAACCAAGTAGATAAACACAAAAAAACTACAATACCAATATTACAATAGTACCAACAATTACAATCGACAAACAACAACAAAAATATGCTGTAGAGCTGAATGGAAGGCAAAGAAAATATTTGTTAAGGAGCTAAAAGAAACAGCAACAGCAAGCATAAAGTATTCATGTACAGGACAGTGTTGTAATAAATACCAACAACGCTATACACTTTTCGAAATCAAGTTCGAAAGTGTAATTCGACGAAAGAAGCAGCAGTTTTTGTGGGATTAGAATGTAAGCGTGCAAACACAGCAGCAATAAAATAGTCCAATTTTCTTTTTAAATCTTAACTATCTACATACATGTAAAGGCCACAAAAAAAACATGAACATAGAGATACAAATATGTTAAATGAAACCAACAATAATTATTAACGGAGAAATATAAAGAATCACGCCACAACAATAAATTAGTTTGAAAAATAAAGCAAAAAATACAAAAAAATATGATTAATTGATGAAAAAATAAACGGCTGGATACAGAAACAAACATTAAGAAAAAATTAATTATAGCAATTAAAACGAAGGTTTATATGTAACGTATAAGATAAGCGTTAATTATAGTAACAACATTAATAATTGAGCACTGCAGTGGGAGAAAAGGGGCTTTGCAGTGGCGCGCATATACTGGGACATGTAGTCTAAAAGTGTTTTAAAAAATGTTATGTTTTGAAGAAGAAAACCAAACTACTATATATAATAGATCGTCATTTGTGTGCTAATGATAAATTAAGTGACTGCTTGTAATATACTTCACATTTGCATACGCACGAAAAAAAAAAAATATTTCCGGCAGGTTCTGCAATTCACTTGCGTGTGAATTTTAACAAAACTCATCTTGAATTCAACATTTAGGATTCTGCGTCTCACTTTCCGAGTTTATTTCTACTTTCTTTCGGAATCCAGAACCTGCCTTAAAAACTGAATTTGTGAATTGCAGAATTTGCCTGATTACTTTTTTTATTGAATAAAATCAAAAAATGTTTTAAAACAAGAAAAACACCAACACTCCACATGCAATACAAAGCCTTGTTTCGATTTTTAATGCAAATTTTATTTTTAACTGATTTCTATATTTGTTATTTTTTTATTACTTTCGAATTTGAATACTTTTTAACTCAAAACACGGCATACAAAAATAGTGTCGGCGAATAAATATTTAAAAATACCAATTTAGGTAGTACAGTTACCTTAGCTCACATGCTAGATTATAACAATGCTACTGATGTGCCGTTTTTTAAATAATTGTAAATAATATCTCGTTTTATTTTTTTACTGATGCAGAAAACAGAAACAGATTTTTTAAACAAGAGTGTAACCAATTTGTCAAGAAATTCACTCACGAAATATGTATAATCCTTACTTTTGTGCGCCACGCATTCGACTGTGCTATTTCCCCTTTTTTAGTTTTTTAATCAATAATTATAGCATTAGTAATGATCTTAAGCCAATACATACATATGTATGTACATATATATATATGTATGAAAATTTAATAAGCGTATACAAAAACTAAATACATACACGCATCAGAGAATAATAATGGCAAATAGTTATACAGATAGAATCCATATAAACATACATATAAGCAAGAAAAGCACACAGCCGTTGTTGAAAAAATATACCAAGCTTAGATAACCAACAGCTTAAGTATGTATTAAATGATTAGATACGATTTCCTGCACCCAAGCGAACATATTATATAAAATCATAGTAAATAAATCAAAAAGGACTAGCAAACCCTAAATACATTCATACAGTACAGTAAAAATAACAATCTTAAGAGACAATTGCGTATGTCAGTATGTATGTACATATGTACATACTATATGCATTCTTGTGTTTAGAGTCTAAACTTTAGACCTACATATATAAATAAACAAACATTTTTAATTACGCAATTATGTAAAAGGAAATAAATTACTTTTATGTAATACATTTAATTTTTGTATGGCAATTCGTTTTTTTTTTTGCAGTGGGTGAATATTAGGGGGATGGTACCTTAAATTTGTATAGCCTGTTGCATTATTAAGCCAAATATTCAATGCTGTTGTTTCGATGTCTAAAATTGTTCTCTGCGTTTGATTGGCTTCGCTTTTTACTCTTTATTTTGAAGATTCTTTTATAGACAAGCCAATAACATATTACTGCCTTTCGGGTTCAAACATAAAAATAACAACTATATAAATATTTATGCTAGTAAAATGTGCATGTAAGAAAATAATTAGAATAAAGTTTGAAAAAAACTTTAGAGAATATATGAACATCAGTGTTTAAATACATACTTATTAAAAAACTACTTTTTATAAGCGCTGTTTAAATGATTAGCGCAACAAAAATTGCACTTCATAAATAATTGCACTTCATTGCGTAAGTCGTAAATTAGGCTAAATTGTACGACTCGACAACATTGGCATTGTCTACTGTCGTGCCGGAATAAGTAAACGACGAAAATCGTCGAAAACTATATAGTGCTGCGTTTAATACACTAGTCGAGTGGAAGCTTTAGGCAATGACGTGACATTTTCGATACGATTCGAGTCTCGAAAAATTACTTACATTCGACACGACTTCCGCAATGAGGGTGATTATTCTTTCCAGCTTTGCAGTATTGGTAGGCTGTCGTTTTACAAGCTTTTTTATACCTATAATGTTGATGAGATTTTAGGAATAAATGTAAATATAGAATACGTACATATAATGAAAAATGTTGCGTGCATATTGATGTATGTATGATCAGAAATTGGTGAGTTGAAATGTGGTAAATTGAAATAGAATGCAAAAAAATTGCAGTACGCCGTACATGTTTTTACTTAATTGTAGTCGAAAAACAAATATTTTCCTATTTTTGATCAACACTTATTTTATTCAAAAGTAGTATTCCAAGTAAACTGAAATATTGCTCTTAATATATTCTTTTACTACAAAAGCAGGTAATATGATCAAAAATGCTTGTAATTTTTTAAAAGATCCTACTATAGCATAAATATACACCAAAGCTAATAGATGATGGCCCAGCACGAGTAACTGATGTATATTAGCGCCCAGATCTGTAGTATTTTCCCGCCATACAATAAGTGGTAGAAGAAACATTTTTGATAAATTTGCTATAGTGATCGCTTTTAGTAGAATTACAGCGAATTTGTTAATGCCTGTACACGAAATTAGTGCTGGACGCTGTACACAGGCTACAATCAACAAAATTAGTGTGATAATAACGTAATCTAAAGAGAAGAGAAGTTGTGAATAAAAGAAATATTACACGAGTACCCTTTTTATATTCTTTAATATGCATAGAAATTCAATAGAGTAGTGCATGACCAGACCGCTTAATTCCGTTGGACCATGAACTACTCGACTTTTAAAAAAATATTCATATGCATTTCTATCTGCATATTGATGGTCGTCTCCAATAAGGACACAACTCAAAACCCTTACTACTTTTAAGCGCATCATGTCTCTAGTAAGGCTTTAGGGATGTGTCGTTACTGCAGAGGACCATCGAGTTATAACATTACCTATCATATTTTGTAAGCAGCAAATATAGAAACCCTTCTCGCTAATGATTTCATGTTGCAACACATCTTTTTGTGAGCTGACTACGATTCCCTTTTGTCTCCATAGTGCAAACGATTCGAGCAATAACAGCACAAGGGACAATTTCCAATTTAACTGTAGTTATATTTAAAACAGGGTTCTTTTAATAATCCAAAATTTATTCATCTTTTCAGTTTCTACCTTAAAATTCCGGTTATGCAGCATGTGACGGTAAGACTCCTGTGATAGCAGCATTGCATCCACCAAGATTATTATCGGGTCAAACTCGATGTACTTGTCCGCTACTTTGTGACATTTTTCCTAAGGTTAAGAGTAATACATACATAGTTATCGAAAAGTATTAAAGTTTAAGAATTTTACGTACACAATGACTTGTTTTGATCGCAGTATTTGTATATTTCCTATACAGTTCCGCTATTGGATGCCCACAATTTATGCAAATATATTTCTTCTGTTGTTTTGAAAATGAACTCTCTTGTTGTGCGGATGGTTTCGTCATTTTTACGGGCTTGTGATTACCAAAATACATAGTTCTATTTCTTTAATAAAGGAACTTATAAAAACGAATTTTTGCCAAGGCTTTAGTTTTTATTAATTTTACGAAACACCTTTCTCGCGTTTTGTTTTGATCGATCGCTTTTTTGTCCCCTTAGGAAAAGATACACATCAAAACGAACTAATAATTATTTTTAATAGCATATATTAGATGATTTTACTTTCTCAATGCAAATTATCGAAATATCCAATTATAATTAATTCATTATAAACACGCATTTTCCAAGGTTTTATGCGATTTTTCGATTTCTTCAGGATGACATTCCTCTTTCCTTTCCTATAGTTTCCTTATTTTCTTCTCATTCGCTACAGCTGATTCTGCACTTTTGGACTTTTTTACAGCGCATTGTTCAATTCTGATAATTTTTGTGGCAAAATTCGCTTCTTTTTTTGCGGGCATAATTTTAAAATATTTTCTGCAATTTCTGAAATGTTGGACAAAGTGAAGCATGTAATATTAGTTTTGTCTGGGAAAGGCGGTGTTGGTAAATCTACAGTTAGCACGCAATTGGCACTAGCACTACGGGAAAGCGGATTTAAGGTACAGTAGAAATAATATTCTACTCCAATCGTAAAACGTATCTACCCCTACAGGTGGGTCTATTGGACATTGATTTATGCGGCCCGAGTGTGCCTTATTTGCTTGGTTTGGAAAATAGCGATGTTTACCAATGTGATGAAGGTTGGGTGCCCATATACACAGATGAAGATAAAATGCTCGCGGTTATGTCTATTGGATTCCTGCTAAAGAATCGTAACGATCCAGTTATTTGGCGTGGACCCAAGAAGACAATGATGATACGACAATTTTTAACTGATGTAAAATGGGATGAATTGGATTACTTGGTGATTGATACACCGCCCGGTACTTCAGATGAACACATAACAGTGATGGAATGTATGCGTGATGTGAAATGCGAAGGCGCTATTATGGTAACCACCCCACAAGGAGTTGCGTTAGATGACGTGCGTAAGGAGCTAACATTTTGCCGAAAAACCGGTGTAAATGTATTGGGTATTGTGGAAAATATGAGTGGGTATGTTCATGCGTATACCATTTGGTTAATTGTATTTACTGTAACACGAAGAAAAAAATTAATTATTGATAAATATACATATACTTTAGGTTTGTGTGTCCACATTGCAGCAATTGTACAAATATATTCTCATCCGATGGTGGCGTCGAATTAGCGAAAAGAGCTGGCGTACCACATCTAGGCACATTACCAATTGATCCACGCTTAAATGTATTAGTTGGCACAACACGTTCCGTGCTTACTGAATTGCCAGAATCAAATACTGCGAGCATATTAAAGTCCATAGTCAATAAAATAACAAAAACCGATTAGGGTATCGGTTGCGATTTATTGATTTGTATTATTACTTTAATTTCTTTGGCATGCAGCTGTTTATTAATAAGACGTTACGGCGGAATTAGAAATACAAGTTTTGGAAATGAGAAAAAGCAAGGCACGTTAGTTCTATTACCTATCCATACCTTGAGGAAATGTAAAATATTTTGCCAGGCGAATTCAAACCAACAGTCCAAATAAACGCGAGCCTTGGGACCCATCTAAAAACATTGAATTTTTGGTATATTTGAAAGAATAAATACCCTCAGACACTCAAACCTGCAATTATGTGCAAACATATTGTGAAAACATTACACCTTCCAAAATCGAAGAGTACTTTCAAAGAAAACTAAAGCAACTGCTGCGGGACTGGACGGTGTAAAATGCGACATGTAGTGATAACCAGACATTGAACAACCGGCCCTAAAAGTCAAACAACCCAGTAGCGAAAATGGTCACTGGTGACATCGCCACTAATGACGATTTAGATACATCGTCGCACTTGCTGTGAATCCTAAACGACATATAGCTGACAATGACACTGGTGATGATGTCATGCAGGTGTACTCCTATCAAATACTTATCGTCGCCTGGGTAAAAGATTGTCGTAAGCGTCATTTTGACGATTTTTAGTTAAAGACTAGCAGAGCACCCGACGTCGTTCGGGGTAAGTAGTTTTATTCATTATACATGCGCATGTTTCGTTTCAGAGCATCGCCGGATCAATAAAATGATTTAATCCTTCCATTTCAAAATGGTCTAAAGACTTTAAGGTTTAAAAAAAAAACCATTTTTAAATATCAGAGTGGTCTAATAGTTGAATACATATTTATCCCAGTTTTACAAACACATTTATATATACTTTATTCTTAACACCTCCCATATATATGTCTGCACACCATATTTCAGGTTTATGTGACTTATGGTTCCCAATTTATGGCTGGTTAAAATTTCCACGCCTATGGGATGTGACACACCCCCTTTTACAAACCCATTTATATATACCTTACTATAAACTCCTAAATTTCACGTTCATGTGACTTATGGTGTCGAAGTTATAGCTGATAAAAAATTCGACGCCTAAGGGATGTGCCATGCCCCCTTTTACAAACTCATTCATATACACCTTACTATAAGCACCTACCATAGCTGTGCCTGCATACCAAATTTCAAGTTCATATGACTTGTGGTTTTGAAGTTGTAGCTGTTAAAAATTGTCACGCCTATGGGATGTGCCACGCCCCCTTTTACGAACTCATTTATTTGTAGCCTACTATAAGCACCTACCATAGCTATGACTGCATACCGAATTTCAAGTTCGTGGGGCTTATGGTTCCGAAGTTATTGGCTGCGTTTCTTTATACATTCCGGATAATCCCATTTCACAGCCGGAATAAACAGAATGCGTTTGAGATATACGTCAACATATCATCAGGAACGTTCTAAAGAATAAATAAACAGAAAAGTTTATTCCAAACGTTCAGAATGAATAAAGAAATTCAGCCATTGCTGATAAAAATTTCACGGCTATGGGAGGTGCCACGCCCCCTTATCGAATCCCAATTTTTTCTTCCTATTATAAGCCTAGGTGTCATGGCAATACTCTGCCAAAATTTCATTCGATTCTGTCCATCCATTTAGGCTGCAACCTGGCACATACATACATACATACTTCCACAAATAATATAGTAGATGTAGTTTTATTTTTTTAAATAAGATCTTTCGATTGGTGTTATCAGTTTTTGGATATCTAATTTAGTTTCCGAGATATTGAGTAAAATTTTGTCGTATTTGCAAGTTCGCAAGCGACTCGGTCAACATCTTGTTGTATGTGACGAAAAATTTCACATACGACAAAATTGTTATACAGTTTGATGAAATTAATTGATGGTTAAAGTATTGTCTTATGTGACAAATTGTATGGTACATACGACAAAATCACACCAATCCTTTACAATGGATAGTCGTATGTGCTACGGCAATTCTTATTGACAAATTGTTTAATGTTTTGTTGATTTGTATTCAATAATTTATATCTCAGGTGTATAAGAATCCATTTTTTGCGTACGAGCAAAGAATAACTTCCACAATTTCAGTCTTTTGCTTACTTGCTGTGTGTGTGATTTGTAGTATGTCACACAGCTGACCAGCATTTAACGTGAAAATGTAACATACGACAAAATGATTTTATAAAAAAGTGCCTGTAAAAGCTATATGAGTTAAGAAAATGTGGTTTTATACTTTAAATAGTATGTACAATCAAGCATTAAATTTTGGTAAAAAACGATTGTACAGCTTTTGAGAAATTGAGACTGAATCTTTAACATCGATTTCCCAAAACCTACCGAAAGTAACATACGACAATCTTTTACCCAGGCGACGTTATAACAGACAATGTCTTGCAGCGGTCACTTAAAAAAAGTGCATTGCAGGACATTGTCGCTTGAATGTCATCAATAATCATGCCAAATGCCAAAACGCATATGAAAATATGTAAACAATGCAGTAAAATGTGTTAATTTTAATATTACATGGCCCAATTTTGCAGGAATCAATAAATATACAAAGATTGATTAATTAGGAACACGTAGCAATAACTTTGGACATGTAGCTCTTTAGGTAAGTACGATTTTTAGCACATGGAAAAATGGATGTATTAACAGTGTTTGCAATTTCATGTAGACCAAAAAAAAGTTGTGCAGCAAAGTAAATTTTTGGACTCGCCATTGTAAAAAGCCATGCAAAGTGCATATTTATATTTGTGGACGGTAGCCAACCACCATAAACTCCACAGCTGTTGACTCCACAGCTTTTATTTGATGACTTTTGTACCATTTCCGAGAGGATGCATGAGTGTGGCTTCTTTGGAAACAAACATTCTATGTAAATAAAACATAATTTAAGCTGAACTTTTAAATGTATAATAATTTGGCCACTGTTTTGTATTAGGTACGTAACAGCGCGGTAAGATGCCGCTTGAATTAGCGCCTGGCGACCTTATCCACTGGTGCATTACCTCATACCAGCACTAAAATTATTATATTCAATATCTTCACTAGTAAAGTGCTGCATGCACACATAGCTCGATTTGGTGTTTAATGCATCTCCTCGCCGGCAGAACTGCTTCCACTTTTTCGCCAGAATTGCGTCCGTAGGAAACGAAAAAAACTTATACTTACTTTGCCACGGCACACTTAACTTTGCTTTGTAATTTCTCAATAATTATTTAAAACCACGCAGAAATATTAGCGCACATATATTAAAATTGTTTTTTGGTTTTTTCGTATGCTCACAATCAACAATTCCACCAAGGTGACGTCACGCACACAGCCGATTCTGTCAAAATCACAAAGAGCGGATTAGCGGTACCGCGATTGGTGCAATCTCTATTTCTCTCAATCGTGATCAATAATCACTGCATGACAAAGTCGTGCAGCATGACAAAGTTAGAGGAGAGGAGTTTGCTCTTATTTGTTAGCTTCTAGAAGGTGCTGGGTTCGAATTTCTTTTGAACCATGAAAAAGTACCTGTCAAGTGCAGAAGGAAGGCGTATTGAACAAAAAATTCAATCAGACAAATTTCAGAAAAAAAACAGCCGAAAACGTAACCGTTTCACAAACAATTTTCGGTAGTTGTCTGTACATACGTTTCGTCCGCATACTTTAAGCCCAAAATACAATAACGCAGTGGCAGTGGCAGTTTTTCGAAATCAGCTGTTTTTTTAGAAAGTGTGGTGTCCAATGAAGTGACTCACAATACAGCAGTGGCAGCTGGCAGTACTGCTCAGTTTAGCCAAAATTCTAAATTCACTGCCACTGTCTTCATCGCAGCAAACTTCGCATGTTGAATTTGACAGAAATAAAATACAGCCAACTTCTGTTCATGTCACTGAAGCCTAAAATACAACAACAAAAATGTAAACAATTAAAAGGGAATGTCAAAAAAAGCGGTCACTGACTCCGCCTTATTGTATTTGCTGCGGCAGTGACTGCCAATATTGGCAGTAACAGCTGATTTTAAAAACTGTCACTGCCAATATAGAAGTATTACATATATAAGTTGAAACAATCGCCTAGTAAGAACGTCTTTTGAAAGCATCTAATCGCCTCTGAAATTGCATTGAAAATCGCATCATGTGAACACCGTTTTACTTTCGCAATCGACTTTTCTCCTCTTCGCAAAATTAGTCGAGGCGAGGATTGATACCGCAAAGTTATCGGTTTAAAATGGAATTATTTTTTAATTACAGGTTAACGAAGGAGAAAGTTTAGGTCTGTCCGTGGAGTGGATTCGAGTTTTTTTGAATTAAACTTATACTTCGATTATTGAATCATGGATTTATGGGATTATTCCATCCATCCTATTGTTGATTTTTAATCGAAACGGCTGTCAGCTTAAATACAACACTGCGAAATGATGAAAAAGAAAAGAGCAATTGAAATAGGTATTGCAGCCAACTTCATGTAGATATGTAAATTTTCACTTCTGCAGAAAAAGTAACGCACCGTCTGTATTCACGAAATTTGTACACTTTTCCAGTCATATTTATGCAAAAAACCATACAGATCTCATAAAAAAGTGAAGTTTGTTAGTTTGGTGGCAATAATTTCATAAAATTTTCCTTTTTCTCGATGTGGTTTCGCGAGTATTCACGCGAAAAGATTTGGTTAAAAGCGGCAGCAGAGCACCTACACCTTTGACGCCATGTTTAATTTCTAGCCAGTAGCGCTCCCATTGAAGAATAAACGGTCGGGAAGGGCAAATTGGGTAGCAAGTAGTGGAACGGTCTAATAGCCGAATTTGTGCGCTATATGGAATTTATAAAAAATGAAGAATGTGTATAAATAGAATATGTAGCGCAGCAGTAAAAGAATGTATGTATGTACATATATACATATCTACATAATTAAAAACTAGAGATATGAGATTTCCCCAAACATTAAACTTGTTTGCAACTCTAAAAATAAATACTAAAATAATTTATGCAACAAGAGCAACGCGAGAGGGTTGGGCCT